GATGGAGAAAGCGTGCTGCAGAGCGGCAGACGATACCGCCAGTTGTCGGGTGGGCCGGATCGGTCGCGAGGAGTCGGCACCGCTGGACCCCACGACCCCGGGGACGACGGGAAGTAAACGGGCCGGGTCCGATTCGCCCTTGGTGCTCGCGGCTAGTGAGCTGCAGAGGAGGAAGAATGGATTGGCACATTTTTGACGAGGCAGATGAGGAGCTACATGAACAAGTTAATAAACAATGTGGAGCAGAGTTGGGCACCAGACGACTCTAAGCTCTTGAGGTGCAGGCAACCAAGCTGGCCGCAGTTTGAGATTGCGCTCACCGAGATGATGCTTTCTTTTGAGACACCAGTTTTGACATTTTTCTAAATTTTATAAGATAGACAAGTTGTTTGACCTTGTTTTCGCAACTTGGTCATGTTGGTAGGAAGACTTGAAGGAACGCATCTTGTCCGGAGTCCATTGTAGGCATGATCATTTCCAGAGTAGGACCGTGGACGTGGTACATTCGCAAACGTTTCGCCGGCATCGTCAGTGAGTCTTGCAGTTCTTAGCATCATACTACAACTTGTCAAAGAGATGTCAGATATAGTCTCGAAACTCTGCTCATAAACAAAAAAATTCTTTCAAGTTTATTTTCGTGAAGTTTATTTTGTGTGAAAATGTCTGGAGAAGGGATTTGTATCAGAAGAAAATAGCTGATTCCCATTGTTCTGCCGTTATTTGGTGTCATTATAAAGTTCTGGTTGATGCTTCCATTGCTTCCAGAGAGAAAAGGTTAAGATTTTTTCTGTTATATGAAAGATATTATCCGACCTGGATCGCTTTCTTAAATAAGCTTTATGTTAACACTAAGCCATAGATTACATAGTAAGCATATTAACAACTAAAAACGTGCTGAAAATAGAAACAAATGATGTTATTAGTCCTTTTCATGTTACTCCGAGTAAATCATTTTATAACTGCATATTTATATTTATATTTATTTATCTACGAACATTATTTACCTACCTACCTACCTACCTACC